TTAAGAGCAATACCTACAACTACTGTTCAAGATTGCCCAAACCCACAGATTACAAAAGCTGCCAAGTTCTGGGACCACTGACAGTCAATGCCAGTAGCAGTTAACCTCTAACCTGAGGGCCTAGTAGAGCTCTATAGTCTTCCGATAAAATGAAAGCCTACGGCAATAGACCTATATTGCTCAGGGTTCTTAACTGTTATACGTGTGATCTGTCAGCCCAGATCCTAGGTCATGGGTACTCCAGGATGCAGCATTGCTGGCACCGGAAGAGTCTCTTTGCCTACCCAGGACTGATATCTAGACAGAGCAAAAGATCCCCTACTAGCTCTGGACCCATGGGAATCCTCTTGTATACCTTATGGGAAAGTTTGAAAAGTAGGTAAGATAAAGGATATTGAATTAATGTACATAATTAATGGCTTCACTAGAAAATGGTAAACAGCCAGATGGTGGTGGTGTATGCCTTTAATGACAGCACTTAGGGGGCAGAAGCAGAAGAACCTCTAAGAATTTGAAGCCAGCCTGGTCTACAGAGGGTGTTCCAGGACAACCAGGATGTTACACAGAGGAACCCTGTTTTCAAAAAACAAAAACAACCAAAAAGATGGTAAACAAATAATACACAACATAAAGTGTCAATAAATTTGTCAATGGAGTTTAATGTAATGCTTCAATTGCTTTAAGTGTTGCTTCAATTATCAATGATGCTGTAATTGAATAAAGTGAATTATATGGTAATAGGGGTCATTTGGAGGTACAAGATTTCATATCTGGCCTGGCAATAAAAATGTATTGCCTATCTAATTAAATGATGATTGTAAGAGCTTATGTGTTTGGTTACACTGTAGGATTTCATTTCAAAACAGCATTTTTTTGTAAAACACCATCTGATTTTTTAAATAGAAATTATCACTATGTTCTTTATACTGGTTTATTGAAAAATCACATTTCCTTACCAAATACTAAAACATACCAGGCAGTGAATAAACCTAACACAATTTCTTTTGCATGAAACACCTTACAGTGAGGGAAGGGTCAATGCTAAACACCAGGGCTAGAAGGAATGACCTGACTGTAGACAGAGCCAAAATGATCCTTTCGCAGATAGGATGCAAAAAGTTTATATAGGACCCGTCCAATATACTTGTTCTTGACAACTTCTTTCTGGAATTTAATCATGGAGAAGGCTATCTTCCCACAAACTTGAAAACACAAATGCAATCAATAGATTCCTTCTTTTATTGAAATTGAACCAATTTACCTTCATGGTATCAAAGCAAACAAACTTTGTGATTTTTATTCATTTTTATTACAAGAATTCTCTTCACAAAACCATTAAGATAAATGGAGAAATGACACAAAAGCCAACAAACTCTACATGCCTTGTACTTCAGCAAAAATTTGGCTTAGTTTACATACAACCTTTGTTGAAACTGACAGCATTTAAGTGTATAAATTCTTAATCTTTTCAAGCAGAAAAAGTTGTAAAAATACATGGCCGAAAGAGAATGTCATCTATCAGTAAATTGAGAATCTGGCTTAAGAAGGCAGTATTAAGCAGACAGCCTCTACAAAGCTCTATGTACAGTCCAGTTGCATAGAGTAGATGTTGATCTGTTGGGTGGATGGCTAAGGTGGTCACCACTGAACCCTCCCTAACCTTGAAGCTTATCTAAGGTTTCGATGTGTTTGCTACAGAGAGATGTAAGTTTAAAGTAAGTTTCCCAGTTCTTCAATACTTTCAAAACCACCAGGCTCTCTCCTTAGTCTAACATTAGGCATGTATCCTCAGAGCTGTTAATTTAAGCCACTGCACTGACAGACTAAGACAAAACCTGTGGAGCTTTCCAAAAATATCCAGTCTTTGAAGAGACTAAACTTTTGCAGGACCTTGCAGCCAAGCTAGTAATATGCCTTGAGATCATTTAAGACTATGTACTTAGTCTGCTGTCCTACTGTGTGCTCGCTTGACCTGTTTAATCTGCCTTTATGAGTTTTTATAACCTAAGCTAAATGCCTAATTTTAATCTTAAATTATGTACTTGTCCATGCTCCTGACCCAGAATAATCTGTGTATATGTTGTGATAATAATCTTCTGAAAGCAATCAACAGGTTGAAAGCAACCCTAAACAAAACATATTCACCAAAGATGTTGAATGTTAAATGTATAGTTTGATAACACGTTCCTATAAAATGATATCCTTCATTTTTCTCCCATATCACGTTTTCTGTGCTTTTTTTTTTTTTTTTTTGGTTTTTTGAGACAGGGTTTCTCTGCGTAGCTTTGCGCCTTTCCTGGAGCTTACTTGGTAGCCCAGGCTGGCCTCGAACTCACAGAGATCCGCCTGGCTCTGCCTCCCGAGTGCTGGGATTAAAGGCGTGCGCCACCGCCCGGCTTTCTGTGCTCTTTAATGCTGTGGATATCGCTCTTTATAAGTAAAACACTGATTGGCCAGTAGCCAGGCAGGAAGTATAGGCAGGATAAGGAGAGAGGAGAATACTGGGAAGTGGAAGGCTGAGTCAGAGAGACACTGCTGCTATGAAAAGAGAGATGTAAGGTACCAGTAAGCCATGAGCTACGTGGCAACTTATAGACTAATAGAAATGGGTTAATTTAAGATGTAAAAACTAGATAACAAGAAGCCTGCTGTGGCCAGTTTGTAAGCAATATAAGTCTCTGTGTGTTTATTCAGTTGGGTCTGAGAGGCTGCAGGACTAGCGGGTGAGAGAGATTTGTCCTGACCATGGGCCAGGCAGGACTGGAGAAAACTTCAGCTACACTTTAATAAACACAAAGCAAAGCCCTTTGTTAGGGAAAGACACAGATGGCACAAGTAAGCACAACTTTAAAAAAAAGGAAAGACCAGAGGACACTGGTAACTATTTCCTGGATACATTCTATGTTCAAGCTGAAACTGTTAAGTCCAAAACTTTCATTTCCTCCTTCAAAACACTAAAACCTGAATACTCAGAGAAAAAGGTCAAAATGCTAAAGATTCAAATTCTTAAGAAGCATGGGATGCCCAGAACTTTCTGAATAAATGCTGAAGACAACAGCAGCAGATGGCTCACTATTTAGCTCAATGGCAACCAAAAGAACATTCCGAAGAGGTAGGTTTCTACCCCAGTAGTTTGGGATAAGACTATCAACTAAAATAAGGAAAGAAGGGGCTGGAGAGATGGCTTAAGAGCACTGACTGCTCTTCCAGAGGTCCTGAGTTCAATTCCCAGCAATCACATGGTGGCTCACAACCATCTGTAATGAGATCTGGTGCCCTCTTCTGGCCTGCAGTCATACATGCTGTATACATAATAAATAAAAATAAAATAAGGAAGAAACATTAGCTTGTTTGGTGGTACACAAAAGCACCTGAGAAAAGAGATAAAGTGATGGGTAAAATCATCATAAAATAAATACCTTCTTAACCGTAACAAATAATTTTTTCCATATGGGATCTATCTACCATTATTTGTATTTTCTGACTGGGGTGGGGAGACAACCGTTAGCCTCTGACCAGCTCGGCACAATCAGCATAACAATTTTTGAAATGTAATTAAAAATTTTTCTAACTTTAGCCAAATATACAATTTTATCACTACTTTATCACAATAAAAGGCTAATAAGACTTTGGTTTGTTATTATAGTTGTAGTTTTAAAGGTTAAAATTATAGAAATGTGAAGTACAAGAAAAAGAAAATTCTTAAGAAAAATGGCCTTTATATTTGTAAAACTTTCAACATAACCAAAGGTTCTTTTGCTGGGTGATGGTGGCGCACTTTAATCCTAGCACTTGGGAGGCAGAGGCAGGTGGATCTCTGTGAGTTCGAGGCCAGCCTGGTCTACAGAGTGAGTTCCAGGACAGCCAGAGAGACACAGAGAAACCCCGTGTCCAAAAACAACAACAAAAGGTTCTTTTCTTTCTTGATTTTTCAGCCTAAAAGCCACAAGTTATTTACAAAATGAAAATTAGGTCTAATTATTAAAAGTCTCAAATTGCATTATATCTAGTTTAAGACATGAAATATTAGAAACAGTACTGATATGAAATGCTTTTTTCTTTCTAGGATGTCCCAATAGGGAGTCTTGCTGTCAGAAAGGGGTACAAGATCTGAGAAAAGCAATCACGAAAATTCAGCCCGGGAAAGGGAGAAAGTGTACTTTCTTTGGCTACACCGCATTTTTTACTATGAAAACATATGCTGTATCATTCCACAGCACAGGATGGCACTTGACCACTTCTCTCGGAGTGAAACGCTAAGGCTCCCGAGGAGAGTCTCAAGGGAAAAAAAAAAAACAGTTCTCGCTGGAGGACCAAACAGGGTTTACAACTAACGTTTGCTCGGCACGACCTCGTCCATCACTACTTGGCAGGGCTAGGCTTCTCCCCGGACCCCAGGCCAGGTCCCCGCGGTCTTTAAAGAGAAGGTCCGGCCAACAGCCACCACTCCCTCGCTGTGGACAACCGAACCCTACCGCCGGCGAGGTGCACGCAGGCTCATCAAGCAAAAGGGAAATGGGTGGGCTTGGGCGACCCCCGCCCCCACGGCCAACCCCACCCACGCCCAGGCAGCCCCGGGGGCCTACGCGACGGCGGACCCAGCCGAGC